TAGAGAGTACATTTGGAGAGCTTTGAGACGATCCCAATAATTTAGGTGTTTTATCTCGTCTATGCGTGCCGTATATGTTCTCTGCTGGTGCTTGTTATCTAGTCCGTTCTTCACTCGCCACTCCGTCAAAAATCCAACCTACTAACCTAACCCAAGCAACCCGCTATAGAGTCTGATGCGAAGAAAACGGGGGATGTCTGTGAGCCGTAACTTGTCATAGTAGGTTACATTTGTAACGTTTGTCACCACAACGTGCAAAACACGACCTATTAGTTGAGAGTACAAGTTGCTAAGACCCCTTGGGAGAACAGGGGTCCCTTGCCCCTAAGGGGAACAGGGGTCCCCTGCCCCTAGAGACACAGGGGTCCCTGCCCCTAGGGAGAACAGGGGACCCCTGCCCCTAGGGAGAACAGGGGACCCCTGCCCCTAAGGAGAACAGGGGACCCCTGCCCCTAGAGACACAGGGACCCCTGCCCCTAAGGAGAACAGGGGACCCCTGCCCCTAGGGAGAACAAGGGTCCCTTGCCCCTAAGGGGAACAGGGGTCCCCTGCCCCTAGAGACACAGGGGTCCCTGCCCCTAGGGAGAACAGGGGACCCCTGCCCCTAGGGAGAACAGGGGACCCCTGCCCCTAAGGAGAACAGGGGACCCCTGCCCCTAGAGACACAGGGACCCCTGCCCCTAAGGAGAACAGGGGACCCCTGCCCCTAAGGAGAACAGGGGACCCCTGTCCCTAGAGACACAGGGGTCCCTGCCCCTAAGGAGAACAGGGGACCCCTGCCCCTAAGGAGAACAGGGGACCCCTGCCCCTAAGGAGAACAGGGGACCCCTGCCCCTACGGAGAACAGGGGACCCCTGCCCCTAGAGACACAGGGGTCCCTGCCCCTAAGGAGAACAGGGGACCCCTGCCCCTAAGGAGAACAGGGGACCCCTGCCCCTAAGGAGAACAGGGGACACCTGCCCCTAGGGAGAACAGGGGACACCTGCCCCTAGGGAGAACAAGGGACCCCTGCCCCTAAGGAGAACAGGGGACCCTTGCCCCTAGGAACACAGAGGTCCCTGCCCCTAGGGAGAACAGGGGACCCCTGCCCCTAGGGAGAACAGGGGACCCCTGCCCCTAGAGACACAGGGGTCCCTGCCCCTAGGGAGAACAGGGGACCCCTGCCCCTAGAGACACAGGGGTCCCTGCCCCTAGGGAGAACAGGGGACCCCTGCCCCTAGGGAGAACAGGGGACTCCTGCCCCTAGAGACACAGGGGTCCCTGCCCCTAGAGACACAGGGGACCCCTGCCCCTAAGGAGACACAGGGGACCCCTGCCCCTAGGGAGAACAGGGGACCCCTGCCCCTAGAGACACAGGGGTCCCTGCCCCTAGAGACACAGGGGACCCCTGCCCCTAGAGACACAGGGGTCCCTGCCCCTAGGGAGAACAGGGGACCCCTGCCCCTAAGGAGAACAGGGGACCCCTGCCCCTAGAGACACAGGGGTCCCTGCCCCTAGGGAGAACAGGGGACCCCTGCCCCTAGGGAGAACAGGGGACCCCTGCCCCTAGAGACACAGGGGTCCCTGCCCCTAGAGACACAGGGGACCCCTGCCCCTAGGAGAACAGGGGACCCCTGCCCCTAGAGACACAGGGGTCCCTGCCCCTAGGGAGAACAGGGGACCCCTGCCCCTAGGGAGAACAGGGGACCCCTGCCCCTAGGGAGAACAGGGGACCCCTGCCCCTAGGGAGAACAGGGGACCCCTGCCCCTAGGGAGAACAGGGGACCCCTGCCCCTAGGGAGAACAGGGGACACCTGCCCCTAGGAACAAAGGGAACCTCGTCACCGCAAACAATACGAATTATAAACAAAGAAGAATTAAAATAATTCAGAAGGACTAGGGGTTAGAAAGTGCTAAAAGGCAGGCTATATGATCTATTTTAGCGAGGTTCAACAGGGTGTCATAGACCTTATCTTTCGGGGACAGGATTTATGATTACGTCAAAGGGGTCCGAGGGAGAGAATGGGCAGCCCTCTGCAACCCGCCCTGGGAAGTGCCTTTTCACCTGCCCTTCTTTGTACCCCTTGAGGGCAGCCCTCTTACCTCTCCAAAGACCTGCCCTCTACTCATTATGTCCAAGGGAAGTCGAACCCACCTGGAGACTACTTCACAGTCAACCAGGAGGGAGAGTCATTGAAGAGTCGACAGAAGTAGCTTCTTCAGCGGTGCTCCAGCGGTGCTCCAGCGGTGCTCCAGCGGTGCTCCAGCGGTGCTCCAGCGGTGCTCCAGAGGGCAAGCAACGGTAAGTAACAATGAGTCCTTCGTCCACCTCCCTCTTCAATGAGAATCATTACTGATAACGTTGTTATTATCAGCGTGGCGCCACAGAAGGTCCATCCGCCCACGGTGATAACGACATGTTGCAAGAGGCGCCGAGAGCTCTTGCAATACACAACTCCAACGATAATAAACTTTAGAAATTATAAGTTATTACATTGCAGAGGTTGCAAAGGTGAAGCCTGGGAGCTAACACTCGCCTCGACAAGTACATGTAAGTGAAATATTGAGCTATGGCCGTGTGAGGCTCGTGTGAATGGCTTAGAGAAAATGGCGGATGGTAAAGAAAACGAGAGGGGGCGGGGGACGTTAAATTAATAGTGGAGTTTATGACTTAAATAATGAAAGGGTGGGGGTATGGGGGATAAGGAGGGGGGGGGAGGGGTATGGGGGTAGATTTTGAAGCCACAACAGTAGGCCTACTGGCAAATAACAATACAGCTCATTAACGTCCACCGTTGGAGTCGAAACGTCTATGCCAGAAAGACGAAACCTTTCTACCCGAAAATTCAATTCAATTACAAAAATACAACACCAGCATCAATTTATAAGTCATTTGTTCTCGCCTCTCAACCCCCGCCGGCGTGGCCAGCCTCAGCTGAGGCCAACAGGCCAACCACCACAACACAAACAATCGCTTGTTTCTTTTCACTCAATGGCGGCCATGTCCCTCGGGGCGGCCATGTCCCTCGGGGCGGCCATGTCCCTCGGGGCGGCCATGTCCCTCGGGGCGGCCATGTCCCTCGGGGCGGCCCCGGGAACTACAGGAGTGTGTCTGGAGTACCTTAGGGAGGTGGTGGCCTCTAGACGGTAACTCTTGGCTGGGTTAAGCCTCTGGGAGTTACCTCACGTGGGCACTCATGGTTGTAACTCTTACAGGGACCATCGTCTGGGATGGGGACACTCTTGGTGGACCCCTCTCTTGTTGGGGACACGAATCAGGTCAGGTCAAAGACCGGGCCGCGGGGACGCTGATCCCAGGAAGCAACAACAGGCAAACACTTTTCACCCTATTGGCTTCACACATCTGAAAAACTGACCTACAATTGACCTTGATCATATCCGGAGAATACCAGGCCGCTCTTATCGAAATCCCCACCTCATCAGTCGCTTACATGTTGAGAGGTGGGACCCAAGAGCCGTAGCTCATCCCCCGCAAATACATGCCGTCTAAACTGGTGAATATGACCCATGATGACCTCAGAGACTCCTCATCCTACCAGAATAGAGAGCGATCTAACCAGTCAGACTAAGTCAGTTATTTTCGTCTTTAAGTACGAGAAATCTATTAATAATTAAGCGTATCTTAGAGGAGAGGAAGTGAGGTTATGAAAGAGGGTTCACAGAGACATTCTCACGGATGGTTGCTTAACATCTACCACACACTACCATTCTCCTTTCATGTACATCTACCACACACTACCATTCTCCTTTCATGTACATCTACCACACACTACCATTCTCCTTTCATGTACATCTACTACACACTACCATTCTCCTTTCATGTACATCTACCACACACTACCATTCTCCTTTCATGTACATCTACCACACACTACCATTCTCCTTTCATGTTTAATGTGAACGTCAACATTTTCTCTTTCGCCGAATGTTATAAATTAAAGAAAACTTGTTTTTAAAGGCAAACGTAGATAAAAATTACTATTAACGCGATAAAATTCAATAAACATTAGCAATTTCGAGAATGAAGGCAGTGTGTTTTGAGCTGCATACACCAGCTTGTTATTATACCAGGTAATTAGGCTGTATTAGTACACCAGGTAATTAGGCTATGAGGATTTGTGGCTAGGTTGAGAGGGCTAGGGAGGTATATCTGGCCTGTTGAACCACACCCTGTAGCCGCCGCCGCCAGGGCTTCCCACAAGCGCTTGGCGCCATTCTTCCCGCCCAAAACTCCCGCCAAAATCTGCCGTGAGTCCTTTCTTGAAGTCCCACACGTTCCCTTTCTCGCTGAAGAGGGCCCCTGGACTAGGGCTCAGTGGAGATTCCTTAGCTCTAGGGCTATCTTGAGATGATTTCGGGGCTTTTTAGTGTCCCCGCGGCCCGGTCCTCGACCAGGCCTCCACCCCCAGGAAGCAGCCCGTGACAGCTGACTAACACCCAGGTACCTATTTTACTGCTAGGTAACAGGGGCATAGGGTGAAAGAAACTCTGCCCATTGTTTCTCGCCGGCGCCTGGGATCGAACCCAGGACCACAGGATCACAAGTCCAGCGTGCTATCCGCTCGGCCGACCGGCTCCCTAGGATGCAGGGAACAGAGTTGCAAAGATTGACTTCCTTGCAACTCTGGCAAAGCAACCACGTCAACTGCACGATGACAACCAAATATAGTATATAGCATTGCCTTCGGTTTTAACCGAATTAACGGTTTTCCGGATTTAAACCGAAAACCTATTATTAAGCCCATCTTCAAAACCTAGAAAATAGACTTCCATGTGGGTTATGTGGGACGGGAGAGACGGCAGTCGTACAGACCAGCCATCTGTCTGTCCCTTTCAACACCTGGCTTCCAGCTTCCTCCGCCCCTTTTCCAGTAATACTTCCAGATCTCCACCCTGGGTGTAATCATACCTTTCGTCAAGGTATATTGGGGTATTAGCTGGAGTTTGTGCTAGTGTTTCCTGGTCTCTGTTCCCCCCAATGGTACCTGGAGTGTACCTGGATGGGGTTCCAAGAGTTCTTTACTCTCCAAGCCCGGCCCGAGGCCAAGCTTGACACGCCTGTAGAGTCCCTCGTCCACTTGGCCCACTTGGCCAAGACACCAGGAACACGTACATACTCAGGTGGTTCAGAAGATCAAATACCCCTCGGCCAGGTCTCTGACCATCTCTCTAGGTTGGTGTTCTGGTCAACCAGGCTGTTAGACGCCGCTGTGCACAGTCTCGCCAGCAGATAACCAACCTAGAAACAGAGTTAGCAGTTCGATCAAACTAAGAAGAATGTACTTCGAGTGACCCACGAGGCGCGGGCGGGCACGGCCCTCGTGGCGGGCGAAGTCAGTACCACCGTTCGCCAGCAGGCGGGCAATTACAGCTCTTCTTAATCACCAAATTACACCGCCATATTGCCCGCGCCACTAATTACCAGCGCGTGCCTCCAGACACGCTGAGAGAAATGACAGGAAGAGTTTAGAACCAATCACATTTTGTCTCAGTTTTCCTGCTGTTTATATGACAAAACATCTTCATTGTAAGGATATACCAGTGAGGATATATCACAGTCGGGGATATACCAGAAGGTGGATATACCAGAGGGCTAAAGTTAGTAAAGTTTGTATACTGCATAAGTAAAGTTAGGATAGGATACGGCAAGCTAGGTCTGTTTAAAAGAGTAGCGGTGACGTAGAATAATTACTCTTAGTTACGGGATCGCCATAGCCCGTGCTACTTGGAAGGTCCAGGTAGCAAATCTTTAACAGCAACAACAACATTACTCTTGGACCCTGTTTATAAGTTGCAGCATCCCCCCCCCCCCCCCCCCCCCCCCCCCCCCCCCCCCCCCCACCACCGTGATGCTGCGATCTCTGCCTCCGGTTGACTCCTGAATTATCCTAAATTATCACCATCTTTGCATCTATTTCTACATTACTTGATGCTTCTTGTTTATCTGTGGCATCCCAGATTTTCCCGGTAATCTCTTGCCAGAGTTCCAGTGAAAGCATCAGTCGTGGATCGACTCATCTATTGTGTCGAAGGAGCTAGATGCCGATATTATCGCCGTTGGTGTTCCCAGGAAGTGAGAGTGTAAGCCCAGTTCGACAGCCCCATCGCAGCGTTCAAGTCAACATTTGACTTACTAAGAGTCTACGTAAGTCAGATTTTGACTTACTAAGAGTCTACGTAAGTCAGATTTTGACTTACTAAGAGTCTACGTAAGTCAGATTTTGACTTACTAAGAGTGTACTTAAGTCAGAATTTGACTTGCAGTCCACTTGGTCATGCTGTATGACTTGAAAGATGCTTAGTTTCAGCAGATCGAGGTGACCACAACACCTGACCTAACCTAACCTGACCTAACCTAACCTGACCTAACCTAACCTAACCTAACCTGACCTAACCTGACCTAACCTAACCTGACCTAAACTAACCTGACCTAACCTGACCTAACCTAACCTGACCTAACCTAACCTAACCTAACCTAACCTAACCTAACCTGACCTAACCTGACCTAACCTAACCTGACCTAACCTAACCTGACCTGACCTGACCTAACCTAACCTAACCTAACCTAACCTGACCTAACCTGACCTAACCTAACCTGACCTAACCTAACCTGACCTAACCTAACCTAACCTAACCTGACCTAACCTAACCTAACCTGACCTAACCTAACCTAACCTAACCTAACCTGACCTAACCTAACCTGACCTGACCTAACCTAACCTAACCTAACCTAACCTGACCTGACCTGACCTGACCTGACCTAACCTAACCTGACCTAACCTAACCTGACCTGACCTGACCTAACCTGACCTAACCTAACCTAACCTAACCTGACCTGACCTAACCTGACCTAACCTGACCTGACCTAACCTAACCTAACCTGACCTAACCTAACCTGACCTAACCTGACCTAACCTGACCTAACCTGACCTGACCTAACCTAACCTAACCTGACCTAACCTAACCTGACCTAACCTGACCTAACCTAACCTAACCTAACCTAACCTGACCTAACCTGACCTAACCTGACCTGACCTGACCTGACCTAACCTAACCTAACCTAACCTAACCTAACCTGACCTAACCTAACCTAACCTGACCTAACCTGACCTAACCTAACCTAACCTAACCTGACCTAACCTGACCTAACCTGACCTGACCTAACCTGACCTAACCTAACCTAACCTAACCTAACCTGACCTAACCTGACCTAACCTAACCTAACCTAACCTGACCTAACCTAACCTGACCTGACCTGACCTGACCTAACCTAACCTAACCTGACCTAACCTAACCTAACCTGACCTAACCTGACCTGACCTGACCTAACCTAACCTGACCTAACCTAACCTGACCTGACCTAACCTGACCTGACCTAACCTAACCTGACCTGACCTAACCTAACCTGACCTAACCTGACCTGACCTGACCTAACCTGACCTAACCTAACCTGACCTAACCTAACCTAACCTAACCTGACCTGACCTAACCTAACCTGACCTGACCTGACCTGACCTGACCTAACCTGACCTGACCTAACCTGACCTGACCTGACCTAACCTAACCTGACCTTGTTAGTGGTTGTTGGTTAAGGTTGTGTGTGGGGCGTGGTTGGCTTCCCATGTGGTGCCGTCCAGCGTTATCTGGCGTGCCTTCCTGCCTCCACCAGCCTATTATCTCTTAGAGGAAGTTGAGTACTGCAGCGGGCTCCCCTGCCTGCCTCCCTGCCTCCCTGCCTGCCGCTCCCCACGCAGTGAGACACTCTTCCCACTCTGCCAGTGAGCTTCCTCTCTCACCACCAACGCGACGGTGAACACCGGGTGGACAGAGGCATCGCAGGAACGATCGAGGGGGTAGAAATAGCCTAAGCTATGCAGGCGATGAGTCACAATAACGTGGCTGAAGTATGTTGACCAGACCACACACTAGAAGGTGAAGGGACGACGACGTTTCGGTCCGTCCTGGACCACAGTCGACTTAGAGAATGGTCCAGGACGGACCGAAACGTCATCGTCGTCCCTTCAACTTCTAGTGTGTGGTCTGGTCAACATAAAAAATGACTGATGGCTTGCTAAGTTTACTGGGGGAGATTAGCGTTCAATAATGGCGCCTGAACATGAAGAGTCAAACAGGAGGGGACTGAGCTCTGAGGCCACGTAGCACTATAGAAGGAAACTCTCAAGGCTAGAAGTGTGACTTCCTGTCCAGCATCACTTGAAAATTCAGATTTCCCAAACATATGGATTGCCGTCAGAAATCAGAAAAGAAATCAACCAAAACTATATATAATCATCGTGAGACCAATTATGGATTATGCAGCGCCAGAAAGGAGCTCCTATCTAGAGACTAAACTAATCCCGGGGAGCCCTTCGGCCGAGCGGACAGCACGCTGCACTTGTGATCCTGTGGTCCTGGGTTCGATCCCAGGCGCCGGCGAGAAACATTGGGCAGAGTTTCTTTCACCCTATGCCCCCTGTTACCTAGCAGCAAAATAGGTACCTATTTGGTACCAAAATAGGTAATTGGTACAAAATAGGTTAGTCAGCTGTCACGGGCTGCTTCCTGGGGGTGGAGGCCCTGGTCGAGGACCGGGCCGCGGGGACACTAAAAAGCCCCGAAATCATCTCAAGATAACCTCAAGATAACCTCAAGATAGATCCCAGAGGCGTGAGAGAGTCTAGCACCTCAGCCAAGACAGCCGTGAGAGTATTTACCAAGCTCACATACCCCTGTCAGTTCTATGATTTTTATTGGTTCAATAAACCATTTTATTGCTGTGACCCCATGGGCAGTTTGACCGCTGGGTGCATCTACGGCAGCTTTGTGTCTTACGGCGGCGGGGTTCGATCCCTGATTGTCCAAGTGGTTGGGTATCGTTCCTTCAGTCATATCCTCATATCCCAGCTCCTTGTCCTCATATCCCAGCTCCTTGTCCTCATATCCCAGCTCCTTGTCCTCGTATCCCAGCTCCTTGTCCTCATATCCCAGCTCCTTGTCCTCATATCCCAGCTCCTTGTCCTCATACCCCAGCTCCTTGTCCTCGTATCCCAGCTCCTTGTCCTCGTATCCAGCTCCTTGTCCTCGTATCCCAGCTCCTTGTCCTCATATCCCAGCTCCTTGTCCTCATATCCCAGCTCCTTGTCCTCATATCCCAGCTCCTTGTCCTCATATCCCAGCTCCTTGTCCTCATATCCCAGCTCCTTGTCCTCATACCCCAGCTCCTTGTCCTCATATCCCAGCTCCTTGTCCTCATATCCCAGCTCCTTGTCCTCATATCCCAGCTCCTTGTCCTCGTATCCCAGCTCCTTGTCCTCGTATCCCAGCTCCTTGTCCTCATATCCCAGCTCCTTGTCCTCATATCCCAGCTCCTTGTCCTCGTATCCCAGCTCCTTGTCCTCATATCCCAGCTCCTTGTCCTCATACCCCAGCTCCTTGTCCTCATACCCCAGCTCCTTGTCCTCATACCCCAGCTCCTTGTCCTCATATCCCAGCTCCTTGTCCTCATATCCCAGCTCCTTGTCCTCATATCCCAGCTCCTTGTCCTCATATCCCAGCTCCTTGTCCTCATACCCCAGCTCCTTGTCCTCATATCCCAGCTCCTTGTCCTCATACCCCAGCTCCTTGTCCTCATATCCCAGCTCCTTGTCCTCATATCCCTGTAACACCGCTCTATTGTAACACCGCCACTAAAATGCACCACTATAATGGAACACTACTTATCCTGAGTAACACTTCCTCATCGGTTGCACTTGATAACACTGTTATGAGCTGACACAAGGGAGCTGTAACACCCAGGGAAGCCTTCTCAAGAGGTCAGCCCAGATGACCTCCGGTTTATCTTGTATATTGATTAAAATTCCTGGGTTAGTCTTAGTCAGCATAGTTTCAAGTATGTAATATTTCATGCAAGGAAATTAGACTCCAGATTCTTATGTGTAAACATCCCTGGATCTCCCCCTTTTGGCCAGGTCAGAGGTCAGTCACACACGTAATTAATAACTCCTCTCTTGAAGAGTGTATGGTGAATGTCAACAAGCTTATTGAAATATTTCTTGAGTGTTTGTACACTTTTGGTGGGTAGCAACAGCAGATCTCCCCCTCCCCCCTGTGGGGGTTGTATATAGAGGGCCTGTAGGAACATAGGGGGCAGAGTGCGATACACCGGGATCGAGAACGGGTCTGTGAAGAACATCTCAGCCCGGGAGAGACAGAGGTCTTAAGGTAATGTGTGTGATCTCTGAGTTTTTGTTCCATGTCCAAATTTCTTAACTTTTTGCCAGTGTTCGTGTAGCATTTATAAGTAGTGATTGACATAATTTTTGGTCTCAATAAACTCGTTAAATTGTCCGTCTGTGTCAATTGTTGAATCCTCTTAGCCTTTGGATATAGTGGCTGACAACCGTTTTCAAAATTAATGACAGTCATAGAAAGTACTCTCCAAGTCAAGCAATGTTTCTTGCCTCGTTGCTTGATATAGTTTCAATGGTCAAAGGCAGATGGTGGCAGCGTATTTAATCCTTGTGTTATCATTTCCTTATTGGCAGTGTACCTTTGGTTCCGGTGTAACCATCATGTGTCAGCTCATAACAGTGTTATCAAGTGCAACCGATGAGGAAGTGTTACTCAGGATAAGTAGTGTTCCATTATAGTGGTGCATTTTAGTGGCGGTGTTACAATAGAGCGGTGTTACATCCCAGCTCCTTGTCCTCATATCCCAGCTCCTTGTCCTCATACCCCAGCTCCTTGTCCTCATATCCCAGCTCCTTGTCCTCATACCCAGCTCCTTGTCCTCATATCCCAGCTCCTTGTCCTCATACCCCAGCTCCTTGTCCTCATATCCCAGCTCTTGTCCTCATATCCCAGCTCCTTGTCCTCATATCCCAGCTCCTTGTCCTCATACCCCAGCTCCTTGTCCTCATATCCCAGCTCCTTGTCCTCATATCCCAGCTCCTTGTCCTCATATCCCAGCTCCTTGTCCTCATACCCCAGCTCCTTGTCCTTATATCCCAGCTCCTTGTCCTCATACCCATCTCCTTGTCCTCATATCCCAGCTCCTTGTCCTCATACCCCAGCTCCTTGTCCTCATAAGCCCTTCCAAGTGCTATATAATCACCATGCCTTAGCGTGTTCTCATAATTCCTTTGCCCTATAAACAAATCCACAAGGGCCGTGACGAGGATTCGAACCTACGTCCGAGAGCATCCCAGACGCTGTCCTTTGCCCTACGTTATACAAACTATAGTAGATGAATGTGTGTAGAAAGAGGAATAATTTGCTGGAGAAGAAGAGTGTGAAGATGGTGGTTCCCTGGAACAATAGGACCTTCCAGGCCGACAGCCAGCCAGCCAGGCAGCCAGCCAGCCAGCCAGCCAGCCAGCCAGCCAGCCAGCCAGCCAGCCAGCCAGCCAGCCAGCCAGCCAGCCAGCCAGGCAGCCAGCCAGCCAGCCAGGCAGCCAGCCAGCCAGCCAGCCAGCCAGGCAGCCAGGCAGCCAGCCAGCCAGGCAGCCAGCCAGCCAGCCAGGCAGCCGGCCAGCCAGGCAGCCAGCCAGCCAGCCAGCCAGCCAGGCAGCCAGCCAGCCAGCCAGCCAGCCAGCCAGCCGGCCAGCCATTCAGCCAGCCAGCCAGCCAGCCAGCCAGCCAGCCAGGCAGGCAGCCAGGCAGGCAGGCAGCCAGCCAGCCAGCCAGCCAGCCAGCCAGCCAGCCAGCCAGCCAGCCGGCCAGCCATTCAGCCAGCCAGCCAGCCAGCCAGCCAGCCAGCCAGCCAGCCAGCCAGCCAGCCAGCCAGCCAGCCAGCCAGCCAGCCAGCCAGCCAGGCAAGCAGCCGGACACCACACTGCTGTCATTGGAGTGTGGTCGGAGGTGTTGTGTGTCGCTGGCTCCAGTCTCATTCATTGTTTTGGTCCACACAATCTGGCGCGTGATTTAAACCCACCCAATGTGCTGGTGTCTCCTACCAGCATTGGTAGGAGACACCAGCCGCTACCAGCTGGTGGCCGATAGGTAGCTACCTATAGGTACCTACCAGCTACCAGCACCCTGGCTGTCTACCCTACACCACCTTCCCCTTCCCTTGAGAGGTCCTGGAAGCTCCTGGGGTAGGTTCTCAGAGTCCTAGCTCCCGGCTGGGGGCTAGGCTTACCCCTGTGATAACTCGGTCCACCAGACTGTTGCTTGGAGCGGCCCGCAGGTCCACATATCCACCACGGGCCAAATGATCAAGGCGATGGATCAATTGATCCAAAGACACCTTTACGGGCAATAGTGCAGGCGGCTATGACAACCCCCCGTCAATCACTAGCATATAACCTTAGCTGTGTTTACAATAGCATTGAGGACGGGGGCTAAGACCCCCCACACCCCCCTGAGGGGGGTCCTGGCTGAGAGAGAAGACAATAGCCCCTACGACGCGGCCCAAAATGTATAGATTGACAAAAGCCGCGCCTCGGCCGCCCGCATGAGGTCGGCTGATGACAAGACGCCCTTATACTGGCTTGCTGTCACCCGACGCCGCCCATATGCTGGTCCAGCACGCCCACGTACGCATGCCCCCATACCCACCCCCACACACTGCGATAGGGGCAACACGCCCACGTACGCATGCCCCCATACCCACCCCCACACACTGCGATAGGGGCAGCACGCCCACGTACGCATACCCCCATACCCACCCCCACACACTGCGATAGGTGCAGCACGCCCACGTACGCATGCCCCCATACCCACCCCCACACACTGCGATAGGGGCAGCACGCCCACGTACGCATGCCCCCATACCCACCCCCACACACTGCGATAGGGGCAGCACGCCCACGTACGCATGCCCCCATACCCACCCCCACACACTGCGATAGGTCCAACACCCAACTATGCACCCGGTTCCTAATTTCTAGATGTTCCAATTCAGTACAGCCCAACCACTTGGGCTGGACGGTAGAGCGACGGTCTCGCTTCATGCAGGTCGGCGTTCAATCCCCGACTGTCCAAGTGGGTGGGCACCATCCCTTCCCTCCGTCCCATCCCAAATCCTTATCCTGACCCCTTCCCAGTGCTAGCCGCAGAATACGTTGAATTGAATCGCGTAAATCGTCTATCAGCGATAGACTGAATCTGACCAATGAAAGGGATAGATAAATAGATTAATCAGAAAATTTAAAGGTGAAAGCGCTACGCCAATAAGTATATATGGTACTTAACGGGGAGGGGGGGGGGATAAGAGGGCATTAAGGCAGGATATGAGGGGCAAGGGTAGGGCTTGCCCTCTGGCTTACCCAAGTCCCCCTTACCCCCCTCCCTGGGGCCCCTGGGTCGTCGACCATAAGGTAAGGGTGGTACTGGTGCTACCACCACACCAGTACCACCACACCAGTACCACCACACCAGTACCACCCACACCAGTACCACCACACACCAGTACCACCACACACCAGTACCACCAACACACCAGTACCACCACCACACCAGTACCACCACACACCAGTACCACCACACACCAGTACCACCACACCAGTACCACCACACCAGTACCACCACACCAGTACCACCACACCAGTACCACCACACACCAGTACCACCCACACACCAGTACCACCACACACCAGTACCACCACACCAGTACCACCACACACCAGTACCACCACACACCAGTACCACCACACACCAGTACCACCACACCAGTACCACACACACCAGTACCACACCACACCAGTACCACAACACACCAGTACCACCACACCAGTACCACACACCACTACCACCACACACCAGTACCACCACTCACCAGTACTGCTATCCTTCCGGCGGGTCAGAACGTGATAGCATCATAGCTGACGATCTCCCTGGCGTGTAGGGTTATCATAGCGGAGGATAGCAGCACGGAGGATAGCAACACGGAGGATAGCAGCACGGAGGATAGCAACACGGAGGATAGCAACACGGAGGATAGCAACACGGAGGATAGCAACACGGAGGATAGCAGCACGGAGGATAGCAACACGGAGGATAGCAGCACGGAGGATAGCAACACGGAGGATAGCAACACGGAGGATAGCAGCACGGAGGATAACAACACGGAGGATAGCAACACGGAGGATAGCAGCACGGAGGATAGCAGCACGGAGGATAGCAACACGGAGGATAACAACACGGAGGATAGCAACACGGAGGATAGCAGCACGGAGGATAGCAACACGGACGATAACAACACGGAGGATAGCAACACGGAGGATAGCAGCACGGAGGATAGCAACACGGAGGATAGCAACACGGAGGATAGCAACACGGAGGATAGCAGCACGGAGGATAGCAGCACGGAGGATAGCAACACGGAGGATAGCAACACGGAGGATAGCAACACGGAGGATAGCAACACAGAGGATAGCAACACGGAGGATAGCAGCACGGAGGATAGCAACACGGAGGATAGCAACACGGAAGATAGCAACACGGAGGATAGCAACACGAAGGATAGCAACACGGAGGATAACAACACGGAGGATAGCAACACGGAGGATAGCAGCACGGAGGATAGCAACACGGAGGATAGCAGCACGGAGGATAGCAACACGGAGGATAACAACACGGAGGATAGCAACACGGAGGATAGCAGCACGGAGGATAGCAACACGGACGATAACAACACGGAGGATAGCAACACGGAGGATAGCAGCACGGAGGATAGCAACACGGACGATAACAACACGGAGGATAGCAACACGGAGGATAGCAGCACGGAGGATAGCAACACGGAGGATAGCAGCACGGAGGATAGCAGCACGGAGGATAGCAACACGGAGGATAGCAACACGGAGGATAGCAACACGGAGGATAGCAACACGGAAGATAGCAACACGAAGGATAGCAACACGGAGGATAGCAACACGGAGGATAGCAACACGGAAGATAGCAACACGAAGGATAGCAACACGGAGGATAGCAACACGGAAGATAGCAAGACGGAAGATAGCAACACAAGGTGCTGACCATCCTCCTGTCTCGATACTACTTATACTAACCATATGAACTATCTGTACATATATTGACCTAACGGACAATTCGAAGCAAGAATTTGGTACAAACCAAATGCATTTATGTGGCTAATAAAACCCAACCAAACCCCCCTATCTTGAGGTTATCTTGAGATGATTTCGGGGCTTTAGTGTCCCCGCGGCCCGGTCCTCGACCAGGCCTCCACCCCCCAGGAAGCAGCCCGTGACAGCTGACTAACACCCAGGTACCTATTTTACTGCTAGGTAACAGGGGCATAGGGTGAAAGAAACTCTGCCCATTGTTTCTCGCCGGCGCCTGGGATCGAACCGAGGACCACAGGATCACAAGTCCAGCGTGCTGTCCGCTCGGCCGACCAGCTCCCCTAGGCGTAATGCATGCTATCCGAGGGCTTAATATAGTACGTATATGTGCTATACAAGGCCTAGGAGTTTGACTATATTTTGTCAGACTATATAGTGTATAGTTCCTAATTCTAATTGTCTATTATACAGTTTACGAGGTTGTAAACTCCACAAGCCAAGGTTGTTATTTATATAAACAACCTCGTGGTCCTTCGGGGCTCATAACCTGTTTAATATGTGTACACAACGTCGCCATGCTTATTGAAAGATGCACAGGTTTCGTATGTGGTCGTTAACCCTGGCCCAGACTGATGGAAAACTAGTGAAACCCGCCACAGGTAAACTACAAGCAAACTCGTGACAGGTCGTGAGTTTTGTAAACTGTTGTACACACATAATTACACTCTCCTAACAGTGCTTGCTGGGGGGCCGATACTCAGCTCCGTGACCCCGACTCCATAGTCCAGAGGCGGTGTGTGTGTGTACTCACCTAGCTGAACACACGTAAGCTTTAGCTCTCGGTCCCAACACTCGAGCCTGACTAGTCCTTGAGTAAGCGAGCAGATGAGAGGCGTCTAATAAGTTCAGGCAACAGCTTAAAGGCTGGTGATAGGTCAGGGGAGTGAGGGAGTGAGGGAGAGAGGGAGGGAGGGAGTGAGGGAGTGAAGGAGAGAGGGAGGGGAGGGAGGGAGAAGAGCCAACAGGTTGTGCATGATGAGCGGCTGCACAACACTGGCTCCTCAGGTCTTATGCTCCCCCTTGCTCTCTCAGGCACTCACCCCCCCCCCCCCCCCGCCAACCTGTCCACACAAGCAAGCAAGATCCGCCTCCAATCTAGCCACAGGGAGGGGGGAAAGGCGTGCACGCACATCCGCCCGGCTTTGCACTTAACGTCTCTCTCTATCCCTCCCTAATTCACCCTCAGCGCGCCAAAATACGTCAACAAACCCCAGCGCGCCAAAATACGTCAACAAACCCCAGCGCGCCAAAATACGTCAACAAACCCCAGCGCGCCAAAATACGTCAACAAACCCCAGCGCGCCAAAATACGTCAACAAACCCCAGCGCGCCAAAATACGTCAACAAACCCCAGCGCGCCAAAATACGTCAACAAACCCCAGCGCGCCAAAATACGTCAACAAACCCCAGCGCGCCAAAATACGTCAACAAACCCCAGCGCGCCAAAATACGTCAACAAGGAATCATTCAGAGGCTCAGTTTACCACAAAAGTTTAAACCAACTTTAAACTACTCAGAGATGCTGCAGGTGTAGTTACCCTGGTGTAGAGTGCAGCAGAACTCCCAGCCAGTTCCCGTAGGAAGTCCTGGACCAACCAGGCTGTGGTGGATATGTGTGGGGGCCTGCGGGTGGCTTCAAGCAACAGCCTGATGGACCAAGTTGTACTCCCCATGACTAGGGTGCTTGGAGGAGGACAACTAACTCTTAGGTCCCATGACAGCATGATAGGTAGGGCCGTTCCTTAGAAGGAATACCCCACATAGGGCACTGCAGGTGGGGAGTGTAGGTGGGGGAGTGTAGGTGGGGAGAGTGTAGGTGGGGGAGTGTAGGTGGGGGAGTGTAGGTGGGGGAGTGTAGGTGGGGAGTGTAGGTGGGGAGAGTGTAGGTGGGGGAGTGTAGGTGGGGGAGTGTAGGTGGGGAGAGTGTAGGTGGGGGAGTGTAGGTGGGGGAGTGTAGGTAGGGGGGGGAGTGTAGGTGGGGGAGTGTAGGTGGGGGAGTGTAGGTGGGGGAGTGGGGGAGTGTAGGTGGGGGAGTGGGGGAGGTGGTCTGGGAGCTTTAAAGGTGGGGAGGGATGAGGAGTTAATGTGTCAATGAACCTGTGGGGACTGGAGGGGGTGGGGGTGCAGGTGGGGGTGCAGGTGGGGAGGGGGGGGGGAGGTGAAGGACAGGAACTGCACCTGGATGAAGATGGAGATGGTGGCAGGCAGACTGGAACCTGGCCAGCGTTCACCACACACTCTCCGCCTGTGTGCGTGTGCGTGCGTGTGCGTGCGTGCATGGAGGAGGAACCTGCGTGCGTGCGTGCTTCTCATTCGTGCATAGTGAAATCCTACGCATTCATACATGCGTATGAACGCCACTCAACATGCGCTCGCATGCGTGCAAACATGTTCAAACGTGCGTGTGTGTGTGTGCACGCAACTGTCACCCCCTTCCCCCCGGGGGCTGAAGTTTAGTCAAGGCAATGACGCCCAGATGATCTTCACGGGGCAGAAGAGTGCCAAGCCCCACCACCAAGAGGGAGAGGAGCGAGCCCAACCGACGGCTCCAGGTCATTTACAATGCAACTCAGGGTCTGAGGGGACACAACGGCCACTGTTGCAGACTTCCCCTCACGTGTCCCCTCAGGGGCGGTTCGATCCCCGGTGGAGGCAGAAACACAATTGGGCAGAGTTTCTTTCACCGTGATGCACCTGTTCACCTAGCTGTAAATAGGGACCTGGGAGTTAAGACAGCTAGCTGCTACGGGCTGCTTCCTGGTTGCGTAATAAAAATGAGGCCTGCAGACGACTGCTGACTCCTGTTAGCTGGCTGAGAGCTTTCCCTTCCCATAGCTCATGGTAAGCCTTACCCTACTAGTTTTACACACAGGAGGGTACAGGAGCAGACGACTGCTGACTCCTGTTAGCTGGCTGAGAGCTTTCCCTTCCCATAGCTCATGGTAAGCCTTACCCTACTAGTTTTACACACAGGTGGGTACAGGAGCAGACGACTGCTGACTCCTGTTAGCTGGCTGAGAGCTTTCCCTTCCCATAGCTCATGGTAAGCCTTACCCTACTAGTTTTACACACAGGAGGGTACAGGAGCAGACGACTGCTGACTCCTGTTAGCTGGCTGAGAGCTTTCCCTTCCCATAGCTCATGGTAAGCCTTACCCTACTAGTTTTACACACAGGAGGGTACAGGAGCAGACGACTGCTGACTCCTGTTAGCTGGCTGAGAGCTTTCCCTTCCCATAGCTCATGGTAAGCCTTACCCTACTAGTTTTACACACAGGAGGGTACAGGAGCAGACGACTGCTGACTCCTGTTAGCTGGCTGAGAGCTTTCCCTTCCCATAGCTCATGGTAAGCCTTACCCTACTAGTTTTACACACAGGTGGGTACAGGAGCAGACGACTGCTGACTCCTGTTAGCTGGCTGAGAGCTTTCCCTTCCCATAGCTCATGGTAAGCCTTACCCTACTAGTTTTACACACAGGAGGGTACAGGAGCAGACGACTGCTGACTCCTGTTAGCTGGCTGAGAGCTTTCCCTTCCCATAGCTCATGGTAAGCCTTACCCTACTAGTTTTACACACAGGAGGGTACAGGAGCAGACGACTGCTGACTCCTGTTAGCTGGCTGAGAGCTTTCCCTTCCCATAGCTCATGGTAAGCCTTACCCTACTAGTTTTACACACAGGTGGGTACAGGAGCAGACGACTGCTGACTCCTGTTAGCTGGCTGAGAGCTTTCCCTTCCCATAGCTCATGGTAAGCCTTACCCTACTAGTTTTACACACAGGAGGGTACAGGAGCAGACGACTGCTGACTCCTGTTAGCTGGCTGAGAGCTTTCCCTTCCCATAGCTCATGGTAAGCCTTACCCTACTAGTTTTACACACAGGAGGGTACAGGAGCAGACGACTGCTGACTCCTGTTAGCTGGCTGAGAGCTTTCCCTTCCCATAGCTCATGGTAAGCCTTACCCTACTAGTTTTACACACAGGTGGGTACAGGAGCAGACGACTGCTGACTCCTGTTAGCTGGCTGAGAGCTTTCCCTTCCCATAGCTCATGGTAAGCCTTACCCTACTAGTTTTACACACAGGAGGGTACAGGAGCAGACGACTGCTGACTCCTGTTAGCTGGCTGAGAGCTTTCCCTTCCCATAGCTCATGGTAAGCCTTACCCTACTAGTTTTACACACAGGAGGGTACAGGAGCAGACGACTGCTGACTCCTGTTAGCTGGCTGAGAGCTTTCCCTTCCCATAGCTCATGGTAAGCCTTACCCTACTAGTTTTACACACAGGAGGGTACAGGAGCAGACGACTGCTGACTCCTGTTAGCTGGCTGAGAGCTTTCCCTTCCCATAGCTCATGGTAAGCCTTACCCTACTAGTTTTACACACAGGTGGGTACAGGAGCAGACGACTGCTGACTCCTGTTAGCTGGCTGAGAGCTTTCCCTTCCCATAGCTCATGGTAAGGTTTTACACACAGGAGGGTACAGGAGCAGACGACTGCTGACTCCTGTTAGCTGGCTGAGAGCTTTCCCTTCCCATAGCTCATGGTAAGCCTTACCCTACTAGTTTTACACACAGGTGGGTACAGGAGCAGACGACTGCTGACTCCTGTTAGCTGGCTGAGAGCTTTCCCTTCCCATAGCTCATGGTAAGCCTTACCCTACTAGTTTTACACACAGGAGGGTACAGGAGCAGACGACTGCTGACTCCTGTTAGCTGGCTGAGAGCTTTCCCTTCCCATAGCTCATGGTAAGCCTTACCCTACTAGTTTTACACACAGGTGGGTACAGGAGCAGACGACTGCTGACTCCTGCTAGCTGGCTGAGAGCTTTCCCTTCCCATAGCTCATGGGAAGCCTTACCCTACTAGTTTTACACACAGGAGGGTACAGGAG